ACTGATACTGCTACTACTACTACTGCTACGACTGCGGTTACTGTTACTACTACTACTACTACGACTACGACTACGACTACTACTACTACTACTACTACTACTACTACTACTACTACTTTAGACTTGTTAACACAACTACCGCCGAAACTACTAACTACTGGCTTTTTTACTACTAATACTACTGCTACTACTACTACTACTAACTACGAACTTCTTACTTCTAGTTCTACGATCACTACGAATACTACTACTACTACTACTACTACACTACTACTACTACTACTACTACTACTACTATTACGACTACTACTACTACTACGACTACTACTACTGCTACTACTACTAATACAACTACTAGTAAGATTACAATTACTACTAATTCCACTACTACCACTACTACGACTACTACTACTAGTACGACTACTACTACAGTTACTACTACTACCACCACTACTACTACTACTACTACTACTACTACTACTACTACTACTACTACTACTACGAACTCCTGCTGGCTACTACTACTACTCTACTCTACTTCTAGCAACCACACTTCTACTACTGACTACCACTAACGACTACTACTGCCCTACGAGACTAATACTACTAGCGACCTACTGGCGGCAACTAAATACTGAACTACTAAAAATACAACTGCTACGACTACGACTACTACTACTACTACTACTACTACTACTACTACTACTACTACTACTGTACTACTACTACTACTACTACTACTACTACTACTACTACTACTACTACTACTACTACTACTACTACTACTACTACTACTACTACTACTACTACTACTACTACTAACTACTACTATTACTACTACTACTACTACTACTACTACTACTACTACTACTACTACTACTACTACTACTACTACTACTACAACTACGCTTACTACTACTACTACTACTACTACTACTACTACTACTAGCATTACTACTGCTACGCCTACTACGGTTACCACTGCTGCGACGATTACTACTACTACTACTACTACTACTACTACTACTACTACTACTACTACTACTACTACTACTACTACTACTACTACACTGGACTCACTTCTATAGCGCTCACTTCTATAGTGCTCACTTTGAAATTGTGGTCCGGAAGGGGCCGCACATGCAGGCACATGCCGCACAGTCGCATGCACATGCCCATGCAAATATACAAAAGCCTTAACAGCATTGCCGCACATGCGCGCACATGCCACACCGTCCGACGCACACTCGAATGCACGGTCAAGCGAAACTCTGAAAGCATAGACGCACATGCCAGCAAATGCCGCAGAGATGTCGCAGGCGATAGTGGGCATTTCGCAACCCAGAGTTGCGAGGATGTCTCAGGCAAGCGTGGCCGGACCACCATGGGGCAAGGCATCTTGGAAACCAGAGTGGCGAGGATGTCGCTGGTCAAGGTGACCAGACCACCATGGGGCAGGACACCTCCGAGGTCTGAGTTGTGAGGGTGTCTCAGGCGAAAGTGGCCTGACCACCATGGGGCAAGAGATCTCTGAGGTCAGAGTTGCGAGGATGCCTCTGGCGAGAGTGGTCTGACCACCTCAGCCCAGGGCGTCTCGGAACCCAGAGTTGCGAGGATGTCTCAGGCAGGAGTGGCCTGACCACCTGCTCAGGGCATCTCGAAACCCAGAGTTGCGAGGGTCTCAGGCGAAAAAGGCCGAGACACTATGGAGCAGGGCATCATTGAGGTCATATTTGTGAGGATGCCTCAGGCGAAAGTGGCCTAAAGCGAAAGTGGTCTAACCACCTCAGCTCAGGGCGTCTCGGAACCCAGAGTACCGAGGATGTCTCAAGCGAAAGGAGCCGAGACACTATCGAGCAGGGCATCATTGAGATCAGGGTTGCGAGGACGTCTCAGGCGACAGTGGCTGACCCATTCGTAAGATCGGGTGCTGCCCCACGACCTCGCGCAAAGCCTTGTGAAGGTGGTGCAGTAATGCCTTGTGCACCTGGTCGTTCCCGCATTGTTCTGGCGTGCCGCTCCTGCCGGCGAACGCGGGCGGGCGAGCGCTGCGCGCGCCTGTGCGGAGCGTGAGCGGGGCGCCCCGTCTGTCGGGGCCGCGCAATCAAGCGAACGCTCGTCCGCGCGCGGCTTGCGCGCGGACGCGAACGCGCCGGCGCCCGGAGACGAACGCCGGCCCCGGCATTCTTGCACGTCCCGCACATGCCCCGCACAGGTACGCACAGTATTCGCACATGCCGACCTCGCCAATGAATGGCCGAGCCAGGCCAGCGATTCCGAGATTCTCTGAGCTCGGGCCTTCAAGCAATTTTCGCCTGAGTCATCCTCGCGACTCTCACCTCCTCCTCCTCCTCCTCCTCCTCCTCCTCCTCCTCCTCCTCCTCCTCCTCTTCCTCCTCCTCCTTCTCGTCTGGCCGAGCCGAACAGTCGGGCGGGCCGGCCGAGCCGGGGGCGTCCGCCTCCTCCGCCCCCCCCTCCTTCCCCCCCCCTCCCCCCCCCC